GTCGTGTGTGTGTGTGTGTGTGTGTGTGTGTGTGTGTGTGTGTGTGTGTGTGTGTGTGTGTGTGTGTGTGTGTGTGTGTGTGTGTGTGTGTGTGTGTGTGTGTGTGTTTTGTTTTAAAGGTGCTCTTGTGTTGTCCTTGTTCAGACGCACTGCTCTTTGCCTCCTTCTGCGTTTGTGTTGCTTTTGATCCAGCATTTGCCTCTCTTTTTGAGGTGTTCCTCTTTTCTCCTATGCCTGGGCAGAAGGTAAAACTTCGTCCGCTACCTTGGTTTTATTTCCGTTTTCATTGTTCTTTGCATCCTTTGTCGTTTCTCTGGGTTTTGATCAAGCATTTGCCTGTGTTTTTGAGGTGTTCTTCTTTTGTCCTGTGCCTGGGTGGAGATAGAGGTCCGTCACCTTGTTGCTTTTATTTCCGTTTGCATTGCTGTTTGCAAGCTTGTTCGTGTTTCTTGGCAGAGCATTTGCCTATGTTTTTGGGCTGTTCTCCTTTTGTTATGCCTGGGTAGGAGAGAAACTCCATGACCTATTTTGCTGGTATTTCTGATTTCATTGTTCTTTGCCTGCTTCTGCGTTTGTGTTGACATTTGTTCCAGCATGTGCCTCTCTTTTTGAGGTGTTCCTCTTTTCTCCTATGCCTGGGCAGGACATATGCCTGGGCAGGAGGTAAACCTCCGTCCGCTACTTTGGTTTTATGTCCGTTTTCATTGTTCTTTGCGTCCTTTGTCGTTTCTCTGGGTTTTGATCAAGCATTTGCCCGTGTTTTTGAGGTGTTCTTCTTTTGTCCTATGCCTGGGTGGGAGATAGAACTCCGTCACCTACATTGCTTTTATTTCCGTTTGCATTGCTGTTTGCATGCTTGTTCGTGTTTTTTGGCATAGCATTTGCCTATGTTTTTGGGCTGTTCTCCTTTTAATTTGTTCTGCCTGAGTAGGAGAGAAACTCCGTGACCTATTTTGCTTGTATTTCTGATTTCATTGCTCTTTGCCTCCTTCTGCGTTTGTGTTGCTTTTGATCCAGCATTTGCCTCTCTTTTTGAGGTGTTCCTCTTTTCTCCTATGCCTGGGCAGGAGGTAAAACTCCGTCCGCTACCTTGGTTTTATTTCCGTTTTCATTCTTTGCGTCCTTTGTCGTTTCTCTGGGTTTTGATCAAGCGTTTGCCTGTGTTTTTGAGGTGTTCTTCTTTTGTCCTATGCCTGGGCGGGAGATAGAACTCCGTCACCTACATTGCTTTTATTCCGTTTGCATTGCTGTTTGCATGCTTGTTCGTGATTTTTGGCATAGCATTTGCCTGTGTTTTTGAGCTGTTCTCCTTGTCATTTGTTCTGCCTGAGTAGGAGAGAAACTCCGTGACCTATTTTGCTTGTATTTCTGATTTCATTGCTCTTTGCCTCCTTCTGCGTTTGTGTTGCTTTTGATCCTGCCTTTGCCTCTCTTTTTGAGGTGTTCCTCTTTTCTCCTATGCCTGGGCAGGAGGTAAAACTCCGTCCGCTACCTTGGTTTTATTTCCGTTTTCATTGTTCTTTGCGTCCTTTGTCGTTTCTCTGGGTTTTGATCAAGCATTTGCCTGTGTTTTTGAGGTGTTCTTCTTTTGTCCTATGCCTGGGCGGGAGATAGAACTCCGTCACCTACATTGCTTTTATTTCCGTTTGCATTGCTGTTTGCATGCTTGTTCGTGATTTTTGGCATAGCATTTGCCTGTGTTTTTGAGCTGTTCTCCTTGTCATTTGTTCTGCCTGAGTAGGAGAGAAACTCCGTGACCTATTTTGCTTGTATTTCTGATTTCATTGCTCTTTGCCTCCTTCTGCGTTTGTGTTGCTTTTGATCCAGCCTTTGCCTCTCTTTATGAGGTGTTCCTCT